CTAATGAATACATTAATCAAGCAAAACTTCAAGCGCAAACGGAAAAGGCTCATCTTGAGAAAAGAAAAAACAAACATTAAAAAACCAAAAAAACCCAAAAAAAACCCCCAACATCCGCGATATCCGCTGCCACTGTCAAACCCTGCCACACCTCCCTATGGCAGGGCTTGAAATGCATATTCCTGAGGGGTGGTGGGAGACTGAAGTAGGAGCAGCAGCTCCTTGCAGAGGGAAGTGGAGGAAGAAGCAGGTGAGCTGCCAAGGCTCCACTCCCCAGCTGATTAATGGCACAGGATGTGCAGCCCGGAGCTCTCCTGACACCCCCTCAAATGTCCAGAATCCCACTCAATTTTAAGGAAGTAATACCAGTCTCCACTGCAATGTCTGCAGCATGGAAAACCCACATGCATTATATTTATTCAGAGCTGAAATGCATTTCTTTCACAACTCTGAACAATTCACCTTTTCCACCAGATGGTAAAAGGCACAATGCTTTGGCCTAAAGACAGAGTGGTTTTTAAAAATTAAGCTTTGCAAATGCTCACTTCTGACAAATTCAGTCACACCCATTATTTAGCTTATGATGTTCATCTATATTTTTGAAGTGGGTATTGAAGATGAATTTGCATGGGAAAATACCAGCAGGGAAGAAGCGAAAAGGAGAGAACACAGTGGCTTTTCCAGTCTGGTCTTCCCACCGTCTCCATCACCCAGAAAAAAAATTAAGATTTGTTGAAATTTAACAACCATCATGCACTGCAAAAAGCCAGTTATTTCACAAATAAAGTGGAGGTAATTCAATATAATTTGCTTGAATGTCAAATGCATTTTCGGTTTCTTTTTTTCCTTTATATGAATTTGCCTTGTAGAAATTGAATTTTACTTCTTTCACAGAGGTAAAATTTAAAATCCATTACTTTTTTCTTGCTTCATTTGTGCATCGCATTTTTTCCAGATGATTGAAGCATTTTGGCTGGTCACTGTCACCACCATGGTACCACATGCAAACCTGGGGAAAAGAATTGCTCTACCAAAGCTGCAGTGTTCCTTCAAAAGGCTTTGTTCCAGAGCTAGATCTTTTCCAGGAGGAATTATCACACTGCACTCCATTAAAGGATCATAAAACTTTTAAAGGCATTTTATGAATAGGCCAGTGATCTTTACTAGGACTTCTCCCGTGGCTTCCAGAAATTTTATCTCAATGTGGAAATGGTAAACAGCAGAGGAACAATCATATTGTTTAAATTAATTTGTAATTTGACAACAAAATAAAGGCAACCTTTCTTCTATCAGATGGACTAAGAGAACATTACACAAAATGATAATAAATTAATTTTAAAATAAGTTAAAGTTTTAATGTACTCTCTCAATTCCTCGAGGGTTCATACTATTTTTTAATATTTCTAAAAATAAATAAGGGAGCAGATTTGACCACAGTGATGCTGAGCAAAAAGACATTTTGCTGTTCTGATGGTAAGGTCAAATTGTGCCATTTCTGGCATTACCAAGAGAGCAAAGGACAGTTGGATCCTCTTCATGATTATACAACAAATTAAACATATATATATTCAATTAATTTAAATGGATTCAACTTAATTTAACAAATTAAATTTATATAGATATACACATATAGTACAAATTTAGCAGGACAGGATAAGAAGCATCTCCCATCCTCTGATGGAAAGGTCTGGAATTCACAGTTATGCTATATTGTGACAACCACAGAACAGGTCTATTTTTATTTGTATCTTTTAAAAATGTATCTTGTTCAGAATCATTCCAGAAAAAACCACTCAGTCGGGAAAATGGGAGGCTCTGCTTCCACGATGAGCAGGGACTGAATCTGATCACTGCCAAGTTCAGAAAAGGGAAGGAGACAGCTCCTCTCAGCCTCATTACAGACGCCAGATGAACCAAGGTGCATATGCATTATGCATGAGGTAATTTAAAAAAGTTGTATAAAAAGTTTAAGTTGTGATTATTTGTCATCACTTGAAAAAAAAATTCCCTGTCACCACTAGCAATAACATTTTTTTTACCAGTTATTCCAGTGTTACGCATTCAAAAGAATAGCTCATATTTTCTTTACTCTTTCTTCCAAATCCTCAATTTGAAAAGCAATTAAAAGATATCCCCAGATATTTGTCTGCGAGAGACTCAACTTCCTGATTTCTGTTGCTGATAGATACGAAGCAACATCACATAAGGGGAAGAAAAAGACGAGAGAAAACAAGTCATCCCAACCTTCTGTCAGACACTTTACAGCATAATGAGCTATGATGAAAAACAAGTCAAACGCTGGGAAAACAAGAAAGCTTGGAAATTTCATCTCCCTGACGGGATCAGGAGTAATTAATTATAATCCATGTGACCACTGGATGTCCCCACTGTCCCTGGAATGTGACAATTCCAAAACCAGGCAAGGAGCAGTGAGTGTGCAAGGACACAGGGCACAAGGACAGGGGCACGCTGATGGTTCCTGCAGAAATCCAATGCCCAGCACACACAGAGGAACACCGGGAGCGGAGCAGGGACTGGGGGAACAGCAGGGCACAACAGAAACACTCTCTGAATTCAGCTTCCAGCAGCTTCACTCGGTGTCTGCTCGATGGTTAATAATGCAGCAGCGAGTGGGGCTGGGTGACAGATCCTCAGAGGGAGCCAGGAAAGCAGAATTACTTCTGAGGAGATGGGAAGGAGCCTGGATTAGAGCACTGCGTGCCACGGGGCAGACAAAAAAGACCCTTGTGCCATAACAGGTGAGAGAAAAGGTGAGCAGGAGCAGGGATGCCAGCACAAGGCTGCTGAGAGATGCCTGTCAAAAACAGCCAAAAGAGCTAAAAAAACAAGGAGAACATCTGTAACACCCTGGGGTGCTCTTCATACCAAAGCTTTGAGGGCATTGGTGGATGAAAGCTGGAGAAGGCGAAGGAAAACAAAAACAAAGCCCAAAACACCCCAGGAAGACTACTTGTACACATCCTTCTTTGGAGGTCAGGTCATGAAAGGTTTAAGTTCATGTGAAGGTATAGAAGCCAAGGTGTTAGCATCAACTCATTTTTATTTATTTTCAAATGTGACAAAAAGCTAGACCTAATTCTTCCATCAGAGATGACCCAAGTGCCTTGCTTACTATGATGAAAAGGAAAGATCTCATCCTGTTTTCAAAGGGAGGAATTTCCTACAAATAAATTCTAAAGCTAACTTCAAGTCAACCATGTGTCTATTTTGTGGACTTAAAAAACTCAAGCTCCAGTAGCTTATGACTTATTTCACTCTTGTAACGAGAGGTTACACCACAAAAAACACCAGATCTGTCCCCAGCTCCTGTCATTAGCACAGCTCCCTGATGTTAGATGTTGAACTACAAAGCTCTGGGAAGGGCAGCTGTGGCTCAGACAAAATAATATTTGAAGAGTGTACACTCTGTGAAGGTGATGTGCGAGTTTATTCTCCCTCCTCCACCCAAAATCCCCTTCCTACTACTTGTAGAAGCCTGGTCAGGAAAGTGTCTGGCCCACAGCTGGTTTCACCTTGGACTTCAAAAAGCAAGGCATAAAACCCCCACGGGCAAAAGTACTGGCAGAAAGATACTGCAGCCAAATGTAAACTGAAAACAAGAACCTGAATTGAACATTAAACTAGAGCATGCCAAACTGGTAATTAGGATTTTGTTTAGCTATTGTTTATATTCTGATTGGCTACAGAAGCTATTGGGACTGCAGAAACACAGAAGTAAAGGGATCTCCTTCAGCCTGGGCTCCTCAAAGGCTTTACTCAGAAGACTTGTGTGTTTTGTCCTTTATTTCCCCCCCCCCCCCCCCCCCCCCCACTGGGTAAAAGGATGACTGGTCTGACACACTGTGGATATCCTTTTGTTCAGATTTCAGATGTTCACAAAACAGAGCTGCACTGAAAAGGCAGGGGTTTTTAGGGGGAGAGCCCTGGGGGAGGAAGTACATGAATATATTTGAATAATAAACTAATTTGAGGATTTAATGGTTTGCAATTAAATTAATTAGGCACTCAGACTTACTGGACAGTGTCTTCAAGCTTGTTCTACTTGTTTTGAAGTGATGCATATGTACAAATGTGCCAGAAAACCTTGATAGCTTTTGTTCCTTCCCCTTGATCTCATCTGTACTTTCAGATCAGTGACTGACCATATACAGACACCTCATATGAAGTACAAAATGAATAAAGTGATTTGCTGAGATTTCACAAAAATAAGAGTAAAAAATATTGTTACCTGTTAGGCTGACTTCTGGTAGTCACCACTCTCTTTTGCAGCATTTTGTCTGACAGACAGAATTCATTGTGTACATCTCAGCCTTCCAAAAAAGTAGAGTTACTATCATGGCTCTTCATCCAAAGATCTGAGATTGCTTAAAAATGTCAGGGATGCTTTATGACAGCTGCTCAAATTCTGAGCAGTTTCTTTACAGCTTTTGGCTCTCAGAGAGGATAAGTAACATATCTAATCCTGAGACCTGATTACTTTCCCAGGTGTGAAAGGAAGACTGTGCACTCATTTTCAGACTCACTGTTGGAAAGCTGGCACCTCCTCCACTCTCAAAACACCACAGCTCCACTTGACTCCAAGTTGAAGTCAAATAAGAGGGCCCAGCACTCTTCAGTGTTCATTTTTTGCATCTTAATCAAGTGCTACAATTGCATAGGCCTTAACTATGGCTAACTTGTTAATTTAGGAGAAAATAGTAGCAAAAGCTTAATTGCAACAAACAGTTAAAATCCCTTGAGCCTTGTCTCTAAAATTTTGGGCGCAAAAGTTTAAGACCCCATCCAGCCTCTTGGGCCTACAGCCCAGAGAAAGAAGAGTTTAATTACACTCATGTAAACAAAACAAGGATTATTGAGGCATTGCTAAGGATCCTCTCCAGTGCCTCCACAGGAAAGGTCTTGCCCATGCAAGCCAGACAATTGAATGGAAAAGTATTAAAAGATGTCCACAAAAGAAAAATAGAGACAGGACTTTGGCCAAGTTTAGTCATACCTTTATTCTGTGGCATTTTTTCCTTATCAGTCATTAATTTAGCAGAGAAAAATTTGGTCCAGAGTTGCTACGGTGATCTCTGATTAATGTTTTAGCTAATCATCCGTGATATATATAATTTGCTTCTGAAATGGCTGTGTAGTGCAGCCTCAAACACTCACCCTGCCTTCCTGGAGCCCTGATAAACCAGAACAAGGCTACACAGTAAATCCTGTCTTGCACTAAAGGAGTCTCACAAATTCAGTTTTGATTTTTATAAACAGATTGCTCCTGGAGTTGTTATTATTAGTGTGAGCTGGACAGCTTGAATTAGAGAATAATTTATTCCCTGTGCATTTCTAATTACAGAAAAGAGGTTCACTCACTGACACACTTGTCCGTCTTGTTCTTTCCTGTCTTTCAGGCATGGCTGATTGCAGCTAAATAGACAGACCAGCACAAACTGCATGAGAAACACAACTCTGTCAAAAAAGGACTGAAGTGTTACCATTAATTATTCTGGACCATGTGCTCATTTACAACAGATCTAACACGAGAAATATTCTCAGAGGTGTCAAACAGCCTCAGTTTCATAGGTGCATGGGGGTGGCACTGACTAAATGTTTGACTGACTGGTAGGATGTGACCTGCCAGAGACCCTTGAAGCTTGGGGATTTCATGTGCAATTTGTGTTTCAGCATTCAATAGATAATTTAAATTGGGCTACTCTCTCTGAGCATTTCTGAAGGATCTACATGCCTGAGCCTGTGTCAGAACTGAACAAGTATCTGAAAAAAAACCCAACAACACCCCCCCCACACACACAAAAACAAACAAACAAACAAACCCACCCCAAAACACTTATGAACATCTGTGCAAGTGATTGTTTGGAACTCACTGCATCTTAAAAAGGCTTGAAGAAAGTGAAAATGCCATTTACTAAAGAATGTTGAAAGGTAGGTGTAACAACCACTGGCTGCATAGGAAGAGAGCATGAAAATACCAGCTAGGGGAAAAGAACAAACCCCAAACCAGCCTGCTTTAGTTAACCCTTGCTACAGCCTCTGTTGTAGCAGGCTTGTTTGAAATAACTGAACAGAGAGTAGTCCATTTCAGCCGTTAATCAGATGAACAAACTTTACAAAGGCAAGAATCAATTTACTGCCAATTCACACTTGAACTGTCAGGAGAAGCAGCACTGGATTTACAAAGTTATACCCTTCAGCTACTTAAGCCAGAACTACCAAAGCAGCATTTTCTAGAATTTTTTTAAAATAATAATAAACAAATAGATACTCTAGGTGTGCCCTTACTGCCACTATATTTAGATTTTTTAATACCTGTGCAATCTAACAGACAGGACCTTCCTCCACTCTCACGTATTCTCATAAACATGAATTTCCTATCCCAGAGAGCAGCAATTAAAAGCTTAAAGGAATAAAGTAACACCATTTTCAAATGGTTAATAATCACCTCCTTCCCCTCTTCATACAGTTTGCTGTTCTCTGTTCCTGAAACTGTTTGCTTATTTTTTTGCAAGACCTGCATAATTTCTGTACTTGTATCTCTGCAATGAAATTTCTTCCTTACAGTCACAGACATTCCCTAGTTCTTTTTTAAAGAATACCTAAGGCTGCATAGTTTTTTGCTGTTAAGGTTTTACACAATATTCTCACCTTTAAAGTTTAGTTTACAAACAGCTTAAGTTTAAAGAGCATTTCCATTAAATGACAGCTCTTTATAACCAGTGACACAGCTTGTTGAGGGGGTTATCATCTGCCAGCATGATATTAAAATCTCTCAGGTTTTCCCCCTGAATACTTTAAAAGGGAACAATTTCAAGACAACAGCAAAACTCTGTGAACTAAGGTGAAGAAATTCAGAATTGCATGTAATGCTGGATTTGCTTTCAAGCAGCATCCTCTTGCAACCTTTGGGTTTACTATTCAACATTAGTTTTGAATTAACAGTATTGATTGTTATCAAAGATTGCTCCATCCTGCCAGCCAAACAGGCAGTATCTTCATATCACAGTCATTGACCAAGCAAAAAAGGAAACAGAAAACTCACTGTGCCTTCTCATTAAGTGCTACTGTGACTACTACCCCCAACCTCATGGCAATCTTGCTTCTGAAGTTCCCACAACTTGACAATAAAGGCATTTGGGATCTGCTTTCAAAAGGTGCTTTTTACCAGGCTACAAAGCAGGTAGGACAAACATCCACTGCTTTAAGGTTTGTTTTTCTGTTGATGTCCCCACTGATTCCTCCTTTCAGATTGTCTGCTAAGAGTTTCAGCTTTCAAAACATTTCTTCTGATCCAAAAGGAAAAAGAATATATATTTTTAAATAATAAAAGGAGACTCTAGAAAATATTCATAACCTGCATTCAGCTCCAGCTGGTCAGCTAGGTGTTCAAAATGAATATTCAGTTTCAAAAACTCTGCTCAAAGCTAAGCTGTGACAGTGCAAACAACTGAACAGTTGCTTCCTATATTAACAGGAAAGAAGCCTAAAAAATGTAAAGCTAATGTCTGCAGTGTTTTCTAAACTTGGGCATTTTCTCAGAAGTGAGATAGATAGGAATGAGAACATTTTGGCTCTGCATAAAATTGTGGTGATGGTAAGGTCGTGGACTTCCCCCAGGTCAATGGCAGATATACAGACTCCTATTCCTTTATTTAAGCTGGGCAGAACAAACAAACATTCAGCCTCAAAGCAAAAAAATCAACATCAAAGTAGGAAAATATGTTGGTCATACAGTATTTTAAAAAAAGTTTCATTCAATTTTATTTTTGAAATTAAAAAAAACCCTATAGATTGTATTTACAACTTGGTAGCCTTAGGATGCAATATCCAGTACTCTAGAGATGAAATATCTCCAAAACACTGAAAAATCCCTGTCAGAGCAGTTTCTTTCACACTTATTACCACTGAGTATTAGAACTGATTACCTTTAAAGAGCCATCACCAATACTAGTAGATTTCATAAAGTTTAGATGTTATCTTTCTCTAATTCATGGACATCTATATTTAAAGCTGCAGACAAAGATTGAAACTAGAATAATTTAAAGTACTACATCACCAGAATATGACTTCTATGGTGACACTTTCTAGAGACCAGGTAGATAGAGAAGAAAAGGTAATTTTTATTCTATTCAGAATGGAGAAATCATGAGGAGACTTGTGAATGCCCTTTTTTTTTAAGATTAAAAAAAGCAGATTTTGAAAACCTCCTCTGGAAGGCTGCTGCATTTGCTTTTGCCAAGACAAATCTAATACATTTTACACCAAACAGACACCAAGCTAAAGTTAAAAGCTTTAGTTCTGCTCTGCAGTTCTACTCTATAATGCCACAAGGAAGGGATTCTCCCACCTGACCTTTCCAACCCACAGTTCCCACAGGAACTGAACAAGACCAGTTTTCATGTCTAGCAGATCATGCACCTCTTTCCTCCATCCCTGGCAAAAAAACAAGTGATTCAAGAAAATTTACAAGAATTTTCAGGGTGCCTCAAGAATTTTCAAGTAGCTTCCACTAAAAGAAGGGAAAAGAAATCCAACACTGAACAGGACATCTCAGTCTAGTGCTGTAAAATTACCTCCAAGGTATTTTGATCAGACACTCTCAGACCTCTTTACAAAAACAAAATAATTATAAATGTTCTTTCTTTTGTACTCTATGGAAACTGGTTGAAACAAATGAAGTAACTTGTACAGGGATATTCAAAGCCTGTGTAATTGTCTAATCTGGGTTCTACCTTCTGAGTACCACTGCTGAGCCTTAACAACCCCCTCTTTCCTCCACAAAGCTGCAGGCTTCAGCAAACAAAGCATTCTTTATAGCTAATTGGTATTACACAGAAACTCAACTGCTCTTATTTACAAAACTACAGATTTATGTCAAGCAAAGCCAATTATGCTTAATGCTTAAACTATTGCAGGTGCTCAATGACATTGTGCTAGGCAGTAGAAGTGAAATTGCTCTTTTAATGCATCTTGTTCCAACTGGGAGCATGTGTTTTATAATCAGTGCAAACTTAACAGATGGAGATTTTAATCCTCTCCATCGAGTTTTCTACAGAGCCCCCTCCCCCAAAAAATGGTATCCCATGCTTTTAGACTTAACTGAGGTGGTCTATGAATTGTCTGGGACAGAAGTTGCTTTTTTTTTTGTGTGTCCATGAATACAGTAAAAAATACACATTTAATACTTAAAAAAAACATCCCCAAAATGTACCAGCAGTAATCAGGAATCCATCAGGCCATTTCAAGGCTAGTAATGACCTCTGATGAGCACAGCACATTCTCAGTTAAAACCAGAGCTGCACAAAAGCAACTTCTTCCCAAGTCAAGTCTGAATCTAGAGTCCTTCCTACTAATTACAAGGGAGAAAAGTTAGAAAATTTAGGCAGTAATCAAACAGAAAACGGAACTGGGATGTTTCTGGCCACTCCTAATCTCATCTAGGAGGCAATTTTTCCCACAATACACTTCAGAACTATAAACCTTTATGGTGAGGATTAAAACATGAGTATCCTAAATTTACTTTGTGCAAAGCAATGCAGAATGGCAACAGGTGATCTCAAACACAAGTAGTCAGATCTGAGTGCTTTGTAAAAACTGCCATAGATCAACAAAAGGCTGAACAAAAGCAAGCTCTCCTAACATTTTTCAGCTGTTTATTGCATTATTTTGTATGCACACACACATCCTTATTTTTGCTCTCCTCCAATTTTTTTTTTTAAATGTAAAAAGTCACAAATTTTTTAGAAATGAAAAGCGGCTTCTTTTAAAGACCAAGCCTTTAGAGTCTTTTATACTGATTTCACAGTGTGCTGGCACAAGATTTATGTAATTTAGGCAGTGCCCTGTATGTACAAAGGATTCCATCAGCTTTGAATGGAGTCCTAGATGCTGCAGTTCAAGAAAAATTCCTGTCTGTTGGTTTTGAGTGCTAAATTGCTCTGTCATAACAGTGAGATTGATTGATTGATAGATTTTTGAATGTAGATTCCTCTGCTCCACCAACTGAACTAAGGCCAAATTCAGCATCCACTGCCCCTTTTTCTTTTGCCATCCATTACTGAAAGGCCAAACCCTTTATTAAATCTGGTAGAAAAATCCTCCTGTCTGTGTGAAGTAGGCAGGGAGCTTTCAATATTCTACTCTTCACCCCAAAGCCCATTCTAAGGAGGTCCTATCGAGGGAGTTAACTAATCCTCTTTTTCTTGCATAATTATCTTCATCAGAAAATTCAACTCAAATGGCTGCATTCTGTTATCTGCTGTCATCTATTCTCATGTTTCAGTTTCTGAGGAGAAAAAAAAAAGAATGTGGCCTTGGGAAGTTTGAGGCCATCCAGCCTGAGAATGCAGCAGACTAAACATTTCACCTTAAAACAGAGTTAAGTTTCTTGTTCTTGGTGTAAATGGTTCCAAGCAACTGTTACTTTTGCAATTAAAAAAAAATAAATTGTAATTTAATAAAACATCTACAGTCCAATCATATTCATCTGCCCAAAACGTAAATTTCACCTTCTATTACATAGTTCCTCTCCTTTTGTGTCTAACTCTCAAATGCCTTGAGAGCAATCACATCCCTCCTATCAGCAGACTCCAACCAGTATTTTTGTAGCTTTTCTGTGCAAGGACAAAGGTCAAGTATTCAAGGATTTCTCAGAAAAGAAATGAATATTTTTCATGGCTTAAACCTGGGTCTATTGCAGTACAAACATGATTTAGAAAAGAACACCTTACAAGCAAATAACTGTCAGGTGTCATGGGTAAATTTACCTAAATATGTGGAAATTAGCGTGTTTCACACTTTCCAATGCCCTCAGAGAAGAGATCCTTCAGCCTTTTGCTGTCCCTCCTCTCACAGCCCCAGCTCATGCAGCCACTTTTGGAGAAATAGTCTGTCTCTTGCTGGGAAGGGGTGGATTCACTATGTTTTTCTCCCACTCCCACAATGCCCACCCTAAATTTACAGCATTAAATGTGGTTAATGGTGCAGAAGAAATTTCCTTTGCCAGCTCTTGCACAGTTTCAGCTCACAAACTGTGTCACCTCAGTGAATTCCATCCTTTTCATGTAGCTTCTCCTGTGGCAGAGCATTCCTCATATCTAGCAAACATTCTGACTTCACTGCCCCTTTCATTATGAACCTCTAGATATCAAAGTGCTCCTTTAGTTTTTTTGGGTTTGAGATGTTTCCTTATCACATAAAGACCCCACTTCTCATCACTCTTTTTAGTTCTGTGACTTTTAAATAGAAATATTAAGGGTTAGATCATCATCTCTCACTATAACAAAATCAGCCAATTTTGGGAGCGTTTAACAGTGTGTAGGAAAGTATTTTACTAATAATTATTTCCCCACATTTCCAACTGCATCTACCCTTTTCCAATCTTTTCCTAATTCCCTTCACCCCACTTCAGCTGGGCAGCAATCAGTAAATTTGGTGCTAATATATTCCAGTGTCTCATTCTACTATTAGCAATTTTTTTCATATCACCCTTCAGGAATGGCAGATCTCACAGTGTTGCTGCCAAATGAGACTGGATACCCCAGCATCAATGTTTCGTGGCACACCTTATGGACTGCTGGCTGGCATCTGGTTTCTAGTTTTATTTTTGGTAGATCTCAAAGCAATTTGCAAAGAATGCTTGTGTCCATTTCACCAAGAGGGAAACTAAATCAGCCAGAGCCAAGAGCAGTACACAAGATTCCCACCATTGCAAACATCAACCAGTCAATAGAAGATTTCAAAATCACTTGTTAATTATACTGTCACAAAGTAATTTGCTAAACAAATATATGCATGTTTATTAATTTTTGACCACTCCTAAATACAAATATATGTGGATACCTATTTCCTTATAAAGATTAAAAACCTCTCTCCATCAATTGTGGTAAGCAGTGAGCTCTCGGTGGCCTCCAGGTGAACTATGACAGTGCAGCCTCCTTCAAGGCCAAATCCTATGAAGAATGCTATGTTGTTAACTTCTAAATAACATTATTATTCACCAGATCATTCATACATACCAGGACATGGTTCCACTTAAGTGCACTGGGTAATTTATCCTTAGAGAGCTGGTGGATAAAAAACCTCCAAAATTTAGGGTTGAAATTTTATCAGGGTGAAATTCTATCAGGTTTTCTCCACGGGAGACAAAATGGGAGAACTTTCCAGGACAGCATTATAACTCTTGATGGCTTTTTCATGCTTTAAAAGTTTTTCTCCAGGAAGACTTCCTCTGAATTCTTTGGTGCAATCTTCATGCAGATTGTTGTATCTGGGGGAGATGATATAGAAAGAGAATAACAAAATAATCATCCTTTAAAGTATTGGCTTCACCCATTGTTTAAACACAATACTTCTTAAGTTGCAGTACCTTCCAAGTCTTGGATTTCAAGGCAGCCAAAAAAATAGGAAAATGCAAATATTCATTTTCCTAGAGCCTTTCAGAACTTCAGGGTGAGAAGTATCAAACTGGGTGCAGATGTTAATAATACCTGTACTATGTCCTTTAAAAAAAAATTAATAATTAACATGCCTTTTCCCACAGAGAAATTTTGGTCTGTTTTTCCTTATTCCAAGTTTTAAAGTCTGTTTTCCCCCTCTGCCTAACCAGTGTTTATCTGAATAGTCCTCACTCAGAGGACTCCCTGCTCAGAGAATTCTTATCAAAAAAAGGAAACAATTATTAGAAATATGTGGTTTTGAAATCAATTGTAAGTCAAAACTTGTATTATTGAAAAATGAGGTACCTTGATTCTGAAGTGAAATGCTAATTTGAAATAAACTTTTTTAAACATTTGGTTTTCTATTTTTAGGAAGATAAGAGGTCAACAGATTTCTTCATAAAAATGTTAAGCTGTGGTGTTTTTTTTTTTTTTAAGTTTAAACCAATTTTATGTTAACATTTTGACAATCAAACCCCCTTAGTTTTCAGCAGTAAATGCCACAAATGAAAATTTCAATTTACAGTAGAATAAAATCCCATATGAGGAGTACTCGGGAGAAATGCTTTTAGTTGTGGCTCAGCTCACATTTAAAAGAAGCGAATCACATTGAAATAATCAAGATGAAACTTTGGTATGTTGGTAAACGAGCTGCAAAGCTGGTGCTATATGTAACAGAAAAACCAACATTTTTTGTCAAGAATTCTAGAAGTGCACTGCCCTTGGAGGTTTTCTATTGCTCTCATCCTCATCCCTGCTCCATCAAGGTTCCTGCAGGATTCCCACAGAGCTGCCTCCCAAAACCTAAGAGCCAATGGTGGCACAGGCTGCTGCCCTTCCTCTTCTTAACTTAATATTTATAATGCTGACAACAGAAAATTGATTTTTTTATAATGCTGACAACAGAAAATCACTTGGGATTAAATGTCCCGGAGTTGTGAGTTCCTTGCATTTTACAAGCAAAATACAAGGATTAAACCAAGGCTCTGCAGGTGCCAGTGAGGGGGCTGAGCAATTCTCTTGTCTCCAGCAGGAAGTTGCTTTCCTCCCATGCCCAGCAGAGTATCAGAAAATATCTGGGGGTGGTTCTGTTGCAACTGCTGCACACAAGTGGCTCTTTCACCACCCCCCGTGTCCCACACTAAAAGGTGTGAGATGCCTGGGAGAGCAGCAATGCTTTCTATAAATGGGTACAAAACCAAGGCCAGTGGAGGTCAGTTCCATGGCCAGCATAGATTTGTGTTCCCATATGAACTCCCTGACAAAAAAAACTAACACCCTTCTAGAAAGAATATGATGCTCTTCTTTCTTTAGGGCCTTTTGTATTAAGACCCTTTAACTATTTAAGGTTAATTACATCAGCTTGTTTTAGGGTTTTTTTTACCTTTCCACATGTGAACTATTCTGTATTACACACTATTCTACAGATTTTATAAGCATTTCTACCTGCACCTACAGACGAAACACCAAGTTTTCATTTTCTCACACGTACCTGTGTGCAACGGCCCAGAACCCCAGGGTGTTCACCATCATTAAGGACGCCAAGAAGAAGAAGAATCTCTCCAATTTACCTTCATGCAGCAGGTGTGGGAACCAGGTGCCTGGTGAAGCAGATATTTGCAGCAGAATGAGTTTGCCTTGCAGCATGAGACATGGCTCGTGTGGAAGCCACGAGGAGAACTCTGTGTAAGACACAACCCCCACAGTGTTCTGACCCCCCCACCCTGTAGCTGCTGACACAAATTTCATTCTCACAGCATCCATGGGGGTTTTGGAGTCTTACTCTTGCTTTGCAGACAGCATGTAGAGATCTAGAGCAACTAAAGAACTTCCCTAATAAATCTGAAGTGTCATGGAAAACCTAATCCTGCACAGCTGCTGCTGTAATGACTGGACCATCTTCCACCCATAACATCCTGTGCACACAGTTAAATCTAAGTCAGCTGTGAAAATTTTAGGACAATCTAGAATTAAGGTGGGCTGTAGAAATCCTTACTTGTATCTCTCATGGTTTTCATAGTCTCTTTTTAATAGAAAGAGCTTGAAAACTATTTTTAAAAGCATTCACTCAGTGCCTTGGATGGTGCTCCATTACCAAGACACCACCTGACACGTTACCTTTCTTTACTTCTTTACCCATAAGCCTGTAAGGTGTCATTTTCTTTCATTCAGTGTTTTTTTACACAAATCAGACCTTTTTCAACCAAGGGTTTTGGAACAGTGCCTGGGCCATTTTGGCCCTCCTTTCAGCAGAGGACAGTGCACACCTACACACAGTCTCAGCACACAGTCTTCCCTGCCTGTGCTTTCCTGTTGTACTCCAGTTTGTGGCTGTATTGCTTTCAGTGTTGTCCACTGCAACCACTCTGCAAACAAGCTCAGGTGGCAAATAACTGTAGAGATCAAAATGGTTAAAAACAAAGCCAGCCCCAGCCAGTCTGCAATTGAAGGAAATCAGTACCCAACTACAGCAAAAGCATCAAACCGATGTAAAAAGAAAAGTTCAAGCAGAAACTGAAGTTACAGAATATCAGAGACCTGTACAGTGCTGTAATGACCATATACATTATTTGGGAATACAGGATATTTATTGCCTTTGAGGAATGCACATAGACTGTCTTCATTAGCAGTTAATGAAGAAATGCTGAGTGTGAAAGTGCTGGTGCTGAGAATGTGATATCCACACTCTCCACAGAGAGTTCCCATCTCAGAGCAGTTCCCATTAACAGCTGGAACATAACATACATGAGCTTATTTTTGTTGTTGTTTAGTTCCCTCTAAAAAGAATTAGTTTTCATGCTCCAAGATCATTCTGTGATGCAAATCAGAGATTATTGGGAGATCTAGATTAAAAGCATACCCCTGATCTGAACTACACCTGTTTCAGTGTGCCCAAAGTCACCTTTCCCCTGAATGAAAGTCTGGTATCAAAACCTTCCCATCTAAATAATGTGGCTATTCACCCCTTGAATGAGCTAATGGGGAAAGAAGGAAAAGCAGCCCTCTTACCACAGCTGTATTGTAAAAACCTGATGGCCTTAACAGTCCTTTTGGCCACTAATGCCACTTTACACATTGATTGCCATCCTTAGATTGTTAATATTTTTCTAATTAGAGACAAAGAGCAGTTCCACATCACAGGAGAGACACCAGCAAAGGATTACACCCTGCCAAACACACATTGATATATTTACATTTTTCTCTTCCCTTCACATCTTAGAGTTATAAACACATTTCTTTTCAGAGCTGTTGCCTTTAGTTCCCCAGGGACTGACAGAGAACAAGTGCCATCAGCTTCCCTAAGCTCCTGCACAGTTGTCTCCATGCCATGTTCCCTTTTTGCTGATCACAGAGCAGCACCACCACACCTCTGCCTGCTCCCTTCCTTTTGCAGCACTATCCCAGAGCCAGTTTTAAAAACCTATCATCTAACACTGAAAGTTGACTGAGCTCCTAGGTGCTGTAGCTTCATTTTAGCAGCTTATAAACTTTTACTGTCATCATTCACAATCAGGCAGTTTTTCATTTTGCATCCCCCAGGGGCCAATGGAAGGCAGAGACAGAGCATGTGGATGTGATGAAAGGGAAATCCTGCATGGGGGTCTGCACTGCAGCTTGTCAAAGCACAGTTCACACTATCTGCTGGGTTATTCCCCTTGGCTGGGCTAGCTACAGGAGCAGCAGGGCTTCCTCATGGAATGACATTGCCAGCGCAACCTGAACAGAAAATATATACTCAAAAAGTTAATACAAACAAATTTTGCAGCTTCTGAGGTTCAGATGTCCATTTGCATCATTCTCTGTATTATCTCTGATAAAGGCACCAGAGAAAAGCCCTGAAACTGGGGCTGGCTTGTTCTGTGAGGGCAGGATGGTAGCCTGGCCAGCAGACCTGGGTTCCACTCCCACTTCACCATGGCCTGGGTCAAGAATCCTTTCTCTGTCTCCTCCGTGCTTCTCTCAGGAGCTGCCACAGCGTTTAAACAGCAAGGCCAGGATAATGACAGAGAGCCTTTGGAAAATCCAAATGATAACAGCACAGGCAGGGACAAAATCAGGCAGGATATGGTGAGGCTCCAGCTGCCATAGAGAACACAATTTCTCTCTAGTTTCCTGCTCTGTCCACAGCAAGAGGTGGGATCAAGGCTTTCTTTTCCTCCCAGAGAGGGACAGCAAGGCTTGTTGTCCCTTCCTCTACAGAGGAACAAGGATGGCAGCAGTCCTAAGGATATCCAGACTATAATCCTTCCAGTACACATTTTCAACAGTGGATGCAGCAAAAATTAATATAAACCTTTTCTACTTAGAGCCAAAAAAAAAAAATTACTTCTCACTCTTTTTTCTTTCATTACTTTTCCTTTTAAATTTTTTTTCTCCCCACAAAATAGGGGATAAACCTGGACTACATTTACTTCTACTTATACTCACTTTAAAGAGGATTCTCTCTTCTGCTTCCAGGAAGACTTGAGAGAAGAGTCATCAGTGCTAAAACTTCACCCATGTGTTTTGGGCACCAAAACTCTTTTTAGATACTCTCACCCCTGACCCCACTGACACCTCCCACAAGCTGTCTGCAGACTGACTGCCTTTGGGGCTCATACTCAAGATTTTACTCTCAGCCATGAACATCAGGGACTCCCTGGGCCATTTTTTTTTTGGTTTTGCTGGCATTAGGCACCCTGGGCACTGCTGTGATTGAAGAGTCCAGCACTTTCCCCATCCTCGCCTCAGCATGCAACATGCTAACAATTCACTTTTCCCCAAAAGATGCTGCCTTTGGGCTCTGTGCATCTTCTTTTCTGTGGAGATTGCAAACAGAAGTGGCAATTACAAGGTTGGTTTGTCACACAGATAATTGCTCACTGGGAATTAACTTTCTGCAACAAACTCCTGATTTCCATTTTTATTCCAACAATCAAAATATTTAGTGGCATGAATCAACACAAAGAAACAGAAGTTTCCTTTAGGTGCATTATTTTAAATAGACTTTCTCTACTGGTTAGAGGTGAATTGGTTACATATTTTATGGCAAATTTAGAGCAAGTTATAAAATGAAGTCTAGGCAGAGTCTGTTCCTCAAGTCTGATCTACAGTCATGGAAATAAAGCACCTGGTAAACTTTCACTGACGTTTTGGAGCCCTTTTGTGTCAATTTTGCATCAAAAATCACTCAGTTAGTCCAAGAAGAAGGAATAATTTACGATACCAAGAGGAAACAACTGATCCTACCAAAACAGGCAGAGGTGGTGGAGGTGAAGCAGAGATGAGGACATGGACAAAAACATTCCTGGGCTGTTTCTGGTGGGTGACTGACATCAAGGAGCTGCTGGCAACAGCAGCCATTGAACAAAACCCAAAAATGGCCAGTCTTTGACAAATATCAGTGAACACAACACATCTGCTGCTCTGGTGGCACCCTCAGAGAGCTCAAGGGAAAGTTGCACAGGGAGGCATCCAGGATTTTTGGCTGATTTTTTGCATTATCCTATTTTATTATAGGGAAAACCTTGAAGACAAAACAAGACAGTCAAATGCCAGAAGTTTCTCTACCCTATACCATTCCTGCATTTTTTGCAGCTATCCTGCAACCTATCTATAATGCTATCATTCTAGAAAAAAAATTAATTCATATTTTAACAAAGGTTTGTACTGCCTTCCTTCATTTCATGAACTTAGTGGGCATATAATTCATGTTTTATCATATCCAAATTAAAGTTTCACTCTGCCTCTAATCCCTGCTAGCTAAGTAGGCACCAGTGGCCACCACCATCTGGACTGCAAGAAATATTCTTTAGCTTTATCATCCTTGGTATTTAGAATCACACAAGTCAAAAATGCTAAAAAGGACCAAAAAATCCAAACCACAAACCCCCCAGTGATTTTCTAAATACAAGCAGGAAATTTGTGCCTGGGACAGTTTCCTTCCTCTGACCTTTTTTATTTTTAATTCTTTCTTACATATTTATATTAATATTTTTAGAGAAATATATTCTGAAATGATTGGCATAAGAGGACAGGTTTTGTCTTGCATCTTCTTCCGTTAAAATGTTAGGAGAGGTAAGAGATCCAAAAGAAAGCAGCTTCCCAGCTTGTACTGAAAATATCACTGTCACCCATCATCTGTTTGCTCTCGTCAGATTTTTTAAAAAAAGTCTTATTTTATCATATTCACACCATCCTCCATAGATGCGTTAAAAATGATTAATGCAGCTTTGAATGTGACTGATATCTGATCAACTCTGCCAATAAAAACCCAAATAAAATTCTAAACTAGTGGCATAAAATAGGATATAAAAATGTTTAAATTTTGTCAACACCCTCTGTGCTTCAACACTTCAAAATACACAGTGGAGGATCTACTTTGCTGCAGGAACATGGAAAAACATGGTCTCAGTGCTCGGAGATGGGAGAACCAGAAATAGTCTTGGCTCAGGTTTTAGTGAAACAAAAATCATGGGACAAGACAAAAGCATTCACAGCCCAGGAGTCACTCACTAAGTCTTGTTAAATCTTACAGAACCATTTCATCAACACTACCCTCTCTGGCAGCAAAAGAGAAAGAACTTGCCCTTCTAATATAAATAAATTATTAAATTAGCTGAGCCTTTTTTTTTTTTTTTTTTTTTTTTTTTTAGGAATAAAAGAAAGAGTTCTGGTTGGTTTGCTTTACTCCCAGTTTCATAAATTGTCCAGATACTGAATATTTACAAGCTCTTTAAACAGATCTGGGGGGGGGGGGGGGAAGTGAGTAAAAAAAGCTTAATTTGTGTCATTGGACTGTAATTTGACTTAAGAGAGGCCACAAATTTGTTCCCTACAGCAGTCCTCATTAGCGGGTTCATTAGGCAACCAATAGGTTTTAATAAATTAAAAAAAAAATTCTTTTGCTGATTGTAATGAGTATTAAAGTCCACTATATGAAGCTGTCCACTGTAAAAATTGTGTATAACATTTCCTACCAAACTAAGAGAAAACTAAAAGGGAGCCTAAGATGCATTTTTTGTTTTGCTATAGTCTATCCCCACCTCCAAAAGTCTGATCCTAAACCTATTCTGATTCAGGAGCCAGCAGGAAAACAGCCTGGGATGAGCAGAGGAACGTTAGAACACAAATGAATTTACAGGAACATCACCATCACTTTCAAGCTGTGAATTGTGTGGTAATTTGGAATTATTAATCTTATTCAAGCAAGGAACACTGAGAAAGAGATACCCAGTGAGATCCTAATTATTTTTAAAAATAAAAAGTGAGAGCCCAGTAATATGTTGTTTACATATTAATAGGGCAAGTAATCTCTAACACTCTCCTAACTAGAGCAACAGAGCAATCACTAACCATTTTTCACTTTATTTTCCCTAAAGCTTTTCAAGTTTTGCAGAGGACTTCTCCTGCTTAGCAGTAGTTATTCCTATCACAGCATCTGAATACAGAGTGCCACTGATTCCCTTGGAAATTCCAGAGTGACTTTTGCTCAGGATAATGGTGCAGTCAATTCCACCTACAGGAACAGCAGGTTTGACAAAGTTAAACAAAGACAGCTTTGGAAAAAGAGAAAAAGAAAAGAAAAAGCTAAAGTTGAGAAGTTTGCCACCCAACTTTCTAAGAGTGAGGAATATTTTAGCCAGGAAACTTTTCAGTTTGCTCAAGAATCCTGAGCAAAAAGGGTTTGAATGTGGTAACCACAGCCTGTGGAGAATTTAGAGTTCAGCCTCCTTGGTCTCAACCAGGATAAAAACTCAATCGCTGTTAAAACAGTATTTCTGGCAAGAAAAGAACTTTTACAAATCAATTACGTGATTTCATAAAGACTCACAAAAAAAGGATTAACCACCCTGATAGAAAACCAGACAAATATCTACTGAATTGCAAATCAAATGCAAAAAATTGGTTTCCTCTATCACAGAGTACAAAAATACTCAGTAAAGAAATTAATTACATAATAGGCAAAATATTTTGGTGCTGACATTATGCTTGAGTATTTTGAAATTATTTAATTATTTCCAAAGTCAAATTGCAGTAAAATGTCAGTTTTACTAAATATTTCAGTCTCATAAAAATTAATAGTTTCCATACTTTGGAGGGGGAGGGTGAGAGAAGAAACATCAGCAACACAGTCTGTCTTAAACTGTTTGTTTAATTTACCCCATATTACACTGAACTCACAATAATTAAAAACAACCTTTTCCACCGGGGGCTTTTCAAGCAGGTCAGTTCTCCACACTGGATAGCTTGGGGTTTAATAGTTCTTTGCCTGATTTGTGTGTGCAAACATTCCTTTTTTTTTTTTACCCATCTCTAGGTGATATTTTATACCTTGTAATAAAATTTTAATTGAATTTTTAACTTAAAAACAGGACTGCGTGTCAAAGCATCGTTTGTTTGTTCAGATCTTGCGAGTAGGAATAAAAACTTCTTGTCACACTTTCAAAACACCCACTTCTGCTTGATTTCAAATTACATGATTCCTTACATAGGAAAGAGAAGCACCCAAAAAATTTAATCCTAAACAGTTACAAAATCCTGCAGCAATTGCAGCAGTGTCATGCATTAGGGCCAGCAGCTGTGGTCTCTAAAGAACATTTCTGTTCCACCAGAGCTTGTCAATGGCATCTTCAGAAATATTCCTTCAGCAAGTGGGACTATTTCAAATTTGTGAACAAATTTGGGATGCCTGTCCCTCAGTCAAGAACTCAAGTGCTTTACTTGTTAAATTTACTTGTGAAAAGGGTGTTTTCTGTATTGAACAAAGATTCAGCAGCAAAGGAAAAATGACTTTAAGACATTCCTGGCTTAGCTTGAAAGGCAGTTGAGAGCCTCCACTAAATGCACTAAATGCAGTAACTCCTTTTGAAACAGGAAAATTTCTGGGAATGGCAGCCTTCATCTGCAAAAGGGCAAGCCCACAGTGAGATGAGACAGAATTGTCACAGAATCTGGCTGTTGCAATAGCTGTGCAAAGGCAGAGGAACCAGTGGGTCCAGGAGAGTGAACGCCCCAGACAGCTTTGAAACCCTCAGCCCTGAAACATCACTCCTGTCCCACACTGGGACAGACAGGAAGGAATGTTCCCCAGTCTTTAAAGCTCAGATCTTGCTCTTGAGGCTTCCATGTAAGCGTGGAGAACATGAATGCTCTTCTTCATGAACTCCAAAAGGTGCTTCCTAGCCAATTTATTTTCAGCCTTCCAGAACAGAAGTACAGAGATTGGACAGGAGGACTTCCTGCAAGATGCCATCCTCTAATTACTCTGGCTATCAAAACTAAGATGACTCATTAAAATTGGATGAATACAGCTGGAAGGCTATTTCCTATCTTAATTCCATCTTAATTGTGAGAGCAAATCAATAAAACTTTGGCATCCCTTTTAATTCTGCTGCCTGATTCTCCAAATCAATAATATTAGAAAACTGCTCAGGAGCACCCATCATGAGCATACTCTTACCTTGAGTGCCTGCGTGGGCTGTCTGCACAAAGAGAGCTCCCACAAAGCAGCCAGCTCCATTAAAGAGAGCTAAAAAATGCATGGAAATCCCTCTCATTCTTTCAGGCACAAGCCAGAATGAAAGTAAGGAACCTTAGGAAGGAAGCAGATACAGTTGCAAGTTAAAAAAAGAAAAAAAATTAAAACAAGAGTTAAATGATGGTAGAACATAGATAACACAGAAAAATTTCACAGCATCTCTATTAGTGAATTTCCATATTTTATGCAGAGAATGTACTTGCTGCAGAGGGGCAATCAGATGTACCCTATAAGATGATAATATGTACCCTGTAACAAAGCATTATCTAAACTGCTTAAATGAATATCTGTAATAAACTACCCCCACACAGCTATCCATATTCCACCAGTACAGAAGCATTTTTCACCCAGACATTTGCTTGAACCTTTTAAAACCTCAGGCATGAGCAAGAGCAGAGAACCACCACCACAGCCAGTAAGCACAAAGACAATGGATGTGATATTTAACTGCAGAACAGCAGGACCTTCTATCTCAGAGCCACTGCAGCACAGCCACTAGTAAATATGTCCAAAATCTAGAGCTCTGCCTTAATTTGCACAGTTAGCTTGCTTTACACCTTAAGGCTGGACAATGTTCCTGTTCCCTGGAGTGCAACCCCCAGGCTCACTGGCTCATTTTTAAGACCTCATTCCTCACTTTCTTGCCACAAGGCTAAACCAGAAGCACAACAGCTTTGGTGGAGAGGGGAAGCTGTAGCATGCTGCTGTAGTATGGGTGACTATAAATAATCCCACCAGCTGTAATCTGGCTGTAACAGCAAGACTTTATGATAGCTGTTCTTTTTGTGCAATTTTCACTGATCACCAAAAGCTTTTCTTTCCTAATTTCTCTCCTTGAGTTCTCCTCCACACTTTTTCTCCCAACCCCAGAGTGTCCCCACCTGCTTTATTTGTTGAATTAGAATGACCTCCAGCTTGAAAAACTTGCCAACAGAGGATCCAATTTGGATCCTGAGCTGCCTGAAGCACCTCTGAATACAAATGAAACTTTGCAATCACCATCTTTCATTTGGATGTCCAAATGAGAGCTTTGAAAACATATGAAAGGAAAGAAATACCAAGGACAGTGTTTTCTTCCTCACTCACAATAGGAACCTGAAGCCTGAGGGCAAGAGAAAGCAGGTGAGCCTGGGTCACCATCTGTAGCTGCAGCAGCCTGAAGCATTATACAGCTAACTTGAGACACTAAAAGACTTAAGTTTCTGGTTGTTCCTCCCTTCTAAAAGCAGGGGTGCAAAACATGCATCTTGGTCAAATTCAGCCTGGGTAATTGCATCCTACTTACCTAAATTACCCCTGCTGTTTCAATAGCCTGCTCCACTCCTCCCTTTCCCCGCAGTGCTGCTGGGAACTGCTAAACAGCTGCTGCATTTCCCCCTGGAGACTGCTGCAATTTATTGGTGGGCAAAGCCATCCCAAATATATCCTCTAACTAACAGAGCTGTAACTTCTTGGTTTAAACCAAGCTGGGGTTACAAATTCAGCCTGTCAAAGGCTAGTGAGAATTTTGTAGCGCTGTTGAGGAGAGCAATAGCGTTGTTTGATTTTACTTTTAAGACTTCCTTAGTGGCAGATATTATTCTAAGAGATGCTCGTGCCACCTGAAGCAGATGATTATTCAAAACTTCTATCAACAAGATAATGAAAAAAGTGTATAAACACAGTTCTAAGTATCAGGGACTGAATTATAGAATAGCTTGGGTTGGGAGGGACTTCAAAGGTCCTCCAGTTGCAACCTCACTGCGATGAGCAAGGACACCTTCCACCAAACAAGGCTACTGAGAGCCCAGCCTGGCCTTGAGCACTGCCAGGGATAGGAGAGCCACAGCTTCTCTGGGTAACCTGTGCCAGAGCCTCAGCACCCTCACAGGAAAGAGTTTCCTCCTGATACCTAATCTAAAGCTACTCTCAGTCTGAAGCTGATCCCCTTTGTCTGTCACTACATGCCCTTGTAAATAACTTCTCTCTCTCTTGTGGGCTCACGTCAAGTACTGAAATGACACAATTAAGTCACCTTGAAACCTTCTCTTTTCCAGGCTGAACAACCTCAAACAGAGGGGTCCTAATGAAGATAAAGAGTCCAATGTGCCAAATCTAACATCTCTAACCAAGCTCTTCAGAAATGAGCTATCTCCTTTCTTCCCTCTGCTTAAGAGTGTGACCATTTCCCTTTTCAGCTTGGATCATGTACTTTCAGGTCCAGTAAATTATTATAACAACTGAATTTGATCTTCTGCATGAGAAAGGCAGTAAAATGCCAGGAAAGGTGAGACAGATCAGTAAGGGTCTAGGCTGCCACTGACATGCACGGAGATGCACCAAAAGGTTCCTGAACAGCAATTCAGCTCAAACTGAAGTGGAAAGCCAGAGCTCAGTTCAGAAGCCTGAATGCAGAGGCTGAGGGCTGCTGGAGATGATTCAGAGGACCTCAGCCAGTGCAAGACCTGGGGGAAAACCAGGCTCCTCTCCAGCAGCAGCTGGAAGTCACAGGCTGCAGAGTGCCAGCTTGCCCTGCCTGCACAGCCAAGGCACTCCGTGACAAACAGGGCCAGGCACCAATTTGTGCAATGAATAGAGGCCTTCTTCCCCATCAGCTACAGCAATATTCTAGTTTAGGCACCTCCCTTTAGCTTTTCATCTGCAAGTGTTTAGATTTAGTCCCATTTAGCTGGTTCTTAAATCACGCCTCTCACTGCAGCTCTTAGCACGATGCTTAATCTCTACTTAAATGAGGAAGGACAGTTTTTCTTCCTAAGAAATTTGAACCACAATCCTTTAAAAAAGGTCTTAAAAAAAAAAAAAAAGGAAGAAAATCCCTAAGATGGAGTTTTATTTCTTTTCTAAAGGCTAAAGTAATCTTCCAGTCACTGGACTCCAGTTGTGCACCCGTGTGCTAGATTAAAAGTCCTTATTCTACCAGCAATATTCTTCTCCTGCTTTTGCATGAGAAGACTGTAAGCAAGTCACCTCCTAACCTTTTTTTTTGTTAAGCTAAACAGAGAAGGTCACAGTTTTCAGTTACGCTTAGCCTGTAACCTAGAAACCAAATTACCTGCCTAGAAACCTGTCTCAGTTAAGTACTTGAGAGCTATCAGATGAAGAGGCATTATGAAAGTGCTAAGTATTTAAAACTAGGGAAAATTACCTTTTTAATGACAGCCTGTGACCCACAGTTCTCAGTCTCAGAGTATAAGAATGAAGCTGAGACACTGAAGTTATTCCCTGCTCTTAAATAAAAACCTGAACATTTCTGGGGTTGTACTGAAACAAGAGACACTCAACACAGAGAATTAAATGCCTGCAGAGATCAGCCAGTCAATTACTTTACCTGTATCTCTAAGTGAATGTTGCTTAGATTATTTTTATAACACTAACTTTTTTTTAAAAAAGCTCTGCAAGGTAAAACACTGGTAAGCACTCTGCATGCTGCTCAGAAGAAAATAAGCCTCAAAAATGTCAATGTAGACACAGAAAGGTAAATTATGGAAAGCAGAAAAGGTTCAGACTCACAATCAAGAGTATGACTACATAATGTGTGGATGGCAGGCACAAGCTGAGCTCTGAGAAACAGCAGTGTTTATCTCTGGCTCCATGTCACAAGTTAAGACATGATGATCTGGGGAGGCATGTCCTCATGACTCGAAACTGGAGCACTAACAAAAACCCTGCAGCTACCTACACCCTTCTCCAGGTTAACCTGTCCCTTTTACCTGCCCACATATGCTCTGTGCCAGTGAAAAGCATGTAATAATTCCATTAACTGGGCCCAAAAATCAAAATTGCTCCACCTTGCTCTGACTGTGGCCTTTAATGTGGCCCCAGAGCATAACCACAGCTCAGCTCTCACATGTGTTTTTATTCCATCTCAATAAAATCCTCACAGGAGAGTTCAGGTCAGAAGGGGCCTCAGGAGCTCATCCAGTCCAGCTCCTGCCTGAAGCAGGTCCAGCTTCAAGACCAAGCAGGGGACTGTGTCCCCCAGGGACCTGACTGGGCTCTGCTCCCTTCCCCTGGATCTGGAACACCACTGCTCATCCTGATTTACAGCCAGCAAGATAAATTATGCTTCTCTGAAGCAGGTAAAGCACAGATCTGCTCATTAAGCCCATGGAAAAGAGCCAGGGATAAAATATAAGATGACAGTAATTATTTTTAGGAAGCGGATATAGTTCTTTGACAATCGGGACACCCTTCCTTTAGCCTACTTGATTTTACTTACAGGAGGGAGTTACCAAGGCTTCAGCCACTCCAAGCAGGACGTACTGAGGAGCCAAGTGGAAGCAAGGCATGGAGGAGACCAGGAGAAGCTCCTCAGAGAGAGTCTGCTCCACCTGAGGGAAGTGCTTTCGGTGGATTTCGGAGAAGCCAGCAGCCGTCACGGAAAGAGCAGCAGATAAGTGACCTACAACTGGGTGAAGAGCACAGAGCATTCACCAAGGCCATACTTACAGGACCATCCCGTGTTTAGAGTGCAGCAAACTAAGAAATGCAAAAGAAGCTTCCGACCCCCACGCCAAATCATTTTTTTCTGGACACCTCAACATGAATGAAGAGTGCTTGCTACGTAAAAATGGCAAAAGGACACCAGCTCAGCACAAACACAATTTCAGAGTTCAGAATAAACGAGAAAGGAAAAACTTTTCTGAAGATGAAAGTCACAAAGAAGAACTTTTTACTTTCTTTTTTGAAGACTGAGGGAGAAAAGGAAGGAGAAAAGAAAGAAAAGGCAAATGTCCTTCCAGATAATATAAGAGAAAGGGTAGGAACAAAACCAACGGGCAGGAGGAAATTCTTCCAAAACTCAGATGTATTATAACTACCCCACACTTCACCCATTACATAGAGGATACTATTAAAATACGTTATTTTGTATTTCTTGATCTTGGCAGTATGAAATTGTATCCTCTCAGAAAAGAAAAACATGAAGAAAGCAAGGCTTTCAAGTCTCTGAACCTGAATTATCTATACTTCTTGTGGTTTGAGATCTCATTGATCTTGACTAAATTTCTGATTTGCCAGCATTTCTAAACTAAAATGTGAGGAGAATTTGGTTGGTTTTGACAGTTTTGGCTCAAATGCTTACACTATTTTTCTTACCAAACCTTCATGACTGGCAACTGCCACACCGATTAGATTGGACATCAACAGTTTTTGTTTCATACTATATTTATAACATACATACACTTTGTCTTTTTTAGTTGTCATTGTTTTTCAGAAGAGATTAAAAAAAAAAATCAAATATTTAAGTGGCCTTAGCCTTGCTGTGTTTTTGCAGGGCTCTGTGTTTCTTCCTCAGCACGAAACTCTCACACCCTTCTTCTAGCACACTTTTTCTGTATGTTCTGGGCTTTAAATATCCTACCCCCCCCTGCCTAACCTGAGCCTTGGAAACTGTTTACGCTCCTCTAGTGCTTAATGAGAATATCAATGAATTATTGGTTGAAAATTGATGACAGGAGGGAATTCAACAGTGTTTTCTGGCCAATGCAACTTATCAAAGCCAGGTATGAAGCCCTCAAGGAGCTTCTTGTAGTTATCCAAAGCAAGAGTTCTCCTGGTGAAAAATTATGTTGGTACTGAAGAAACCTCCAGCAGTTCAATATTCTTAACAGTGCAACAAACTTGAAGCATTTTCCTTTGCTAAAAGCCAATACATTTCAGAAAAAGGAACCTCAGGGGAGCCCAAAAATTTCCTTTTTTTTTTTTTCCCCAACACTTTTTGTGGCAAAGGAAGAAACCAAGAGCCTTGGAGATAGAATTTTCATCTTTACTCTTCTCCCTTTAGTCCTCCTTAAAATGAGAGGCTTGGAGTGAGGTTTTGGTTTTACAGGACAACATGCTGTTTTTAGTAATATTTAGGGGTGATTCTGGGACAAGGTTCTTTATATTGTCTAGAGACTAAGGTTGTATTGGACCTTTATGAATAAACCAACAACTATTGAGAGAGTAATGGATTACAGTTTTTATGTAGACCCTTAATACAGAGCAACCAGGTATTTCAGTTGTCTGTATGGTTCATCCTTGAAAACTGCTATTCTTAACATGCTGAAGATTTCCAGAAAAGTATTTAAATTTATTCTTCTTACAAGAGTTGAATTAAAATATAGTTATGGGCTGGCTTAACACCAACTGCCTATTTATACTTCCAATTTTGTTGCTGAAAATAATTGAGAACCTAATTAACTGTTGGCAAAAATATTGGCACTTAGAGGTCTACCATACTTGCAGGTGCAGTCATATACTTGGATATCTAAAGCCATTGCCTGTACTCACAGGTATTTTTATGCCTCAGGTAGTTTATCACCCCTAACAGGAGGTTATTTTGATAAATGAACCTATTAAGAACAAACCACTGCATATATTCTACTGCTGTTCAACATAACAGGATAGAACATTAATACAAACCTGAAATTTCCATGGTTTAAAGGAAAATGATTATCTGAATGTGCTTTTTGTGTTTTAATGCAGATGTTATTTTAAAAACTAGGCTAATTGCAACCTGCTGTGTTATATGCTTCTGGTTTGTATAAAACTTAATAACACTCTTAATTAGGCTAATTTAGTCAGATTAATACCTCTGTGTGTGTCAGTACTCACTGTGCTGCCTGCCATGGGGCACTGAATTAATAGCAGCACACTGAGAAAATAGCGGTTTATAAACATTTTCATCTGAGGTTTGCAATGCAGACTGGAAGATAAAAAATGGAGGAAGTTTAATGAGAGTATCTATGAAAAGGAAGAGTTTTAAGTGAATACAGACTGGAAGCTGCTTTACTGCTGGTACTACATGTAGCTGACATCTGAAGACTGTTGCAGGAGATCCCTTCAGATCCTAGCACACAAGAGGTTTGGGGGCAATTAAAAAACAAATAAATAAATCACATCAGTATCAAGAGAAGGTAGCCCAACTATTATTAAAGTTACCATTGCTTCTAGGCTATGAATTTCTCTGGAATAAGTGCCAATATACAACAGAGAATATTTCCTTTTACCACTTCTGTGAGAAAGAGTAACACTTCACCTTTGGAGATCCCTTCTCGCTGTGACTGGGGGTACAACAATGATTTTAATAATGAAAATACTAAACACTTGAACATTTACCTCAGATTAGACATTCTAATGAAAACTAATTCTAATGAAAACAGTGCTGGGGAGGAAGGCTGTACCTTTCCAAGTAATCTCCACCTGTGAAATATTCAGCCTGGTCAATGGGAACAGCAGCCAGTGATGCACACCCAGTTGTTCTGCATAGTATTCTGCACGTTTTCTTTTGCTCATCCATTCTAAAACAAACCCTATTGCACATACAGAATTAGCCTAGATGCTTTTATTTAATTTATGATGCAGAGTGTGGAAGAAACTGTTCTAACTGGTAATACAATTTCCCTCTTATGAGCTGCAGTCCTAGCAATAATGCACTTACAGCATAAAACCCACAGAAAAACAAAGCCTTGATTCCTGAGTTATCTGAATCCAAACTCATTGTTTTGGGCAACACATTTCTCCAGCATCAGAGAGCAACCAACTGAAGGGCTTCTTAATTTCTAAAAAAGACTTTGATTGTAAGTTAACTGTCCAAAAGCTAATAAATAAAGAAATATATAGAAGATAACCAAGTCAAAGTGATTCTCAGGCATAAATAATTAAAACTGCTTCTCTCCAATACCAATTCCATTGGATGACCCCTAGTTATTTGTGAATGTGCCTCAAAATTTTTATTTTTTAGACGAGTCTGTCCTACACAAAACCTATACTTTTTTCTTACTATCTACTAAGTGTTTTCAGGACTGATTTTTTCAGTAATTCCTTTGAAAGATATTTACTTATGAGCATCATCCCAAAACAAATTCATGTTAATATTTATAGTCAGATATAATTATCTAGGATCATCCATCACACTCTTTCTCTTTCAAAAACAGAAAACATATTAAAGCCGTATAAATTCAACTATTTTTTTACATACCAATGTAAATTGTTGGAGAATGTCCAGTGTCCTTGGAGCTAAAGAGCCAGGAGTTAATGCATTCCAAAATAGGAACAAGGATCAGTAGGGGCACAATGCTTATCACGTTCATTGCTGCAACTGGCAGGACAAATCCACCGAAGTGCAAGTTGGAATGCATGGTTTGGAGATAATATCCTGAAGGAATCTGTATTGAAGGATAAAACCACAATCATGGATAAGATTTTCACTATATTTGGAAGTCTCTCCAAGTTTTTCCTTCTGAAGAAGTCACATTAAACCAAATACCTGCTGGCAAAAAAAGGAATGAGCATTCATGAAGAAAGCCTTTCAGATAATGACAAGATTGTTCTCTGCCAGAACATAACATTTCCCTTTTATAAGATTTTCTCCTACATTTAACAAATTAAGCAACAGTCTAAAAGTTTATTTGATCACTCCTAATTAGAGCCATCAGCCAATATACTAAATAATTCCAGCAAAAAACTTCAGTCACTTCACCCAGACAGTATTTAACAGATCAGAATCTTGAAATAGCAAAATGCAGAGCAATTTGATTTTAGAATTGCAAGGCACAGAATGACTTTGGACTTATGATTGCATGCTCAAGGTAGGAGCACTTTAAAAGCTACAGGGAATGAAGATTTGGGTACAGCCTTAGAACCAGCTTAATGCAATTCATAGTCAGGGCACCTATAGAGGATTTCCTTTTGCCTGGGGGAGGTGAAAACCAAAGTAAAAACAAGCAGATGAGGAACCTCCCAGTGGCAGTCAACAGGGTACACAATTGAGTACATTTGTAAGACTCTCACTACAAAGGCAAATAATTCCTCCTGCTTGTGTGAGGCTATACAGAAGAGCTGCTGAGTTTATAAAAAATGTAAAATCAAAATCCTGATGGCTTCTACCAACAGATTTACAGATTTTTCAGTGGAGTTTTTTTGTTTCTTTGTCTGGGATTTTTTTTTTGAGGAAGCTTGATTAACTAATTTCATGTTCAGCAGGGAGCCATAGTTCACTGCAAAATACAGACTGGGAAAATCCAACTTGAGCAATTCCCAGAGTACAGTCATGACAGAACTCAACCTAGAACTGGTTTCTTTGCTCTCTCTCTGTTTTTACTGAGCTCTGGATTCCTGCAGCATCCTGCACACTCTTCAATATGATCAGTGATTTCCAGCCCAGGTAGAATATTGCTGCTTTATAGCTGTCCAAAAATCAATGTATAGTTGTTAACTGAGCTCGTGCAGGGTTTCTCATCAATGGTTATAATCAACCCCATCCACTTGGAGTCCATTCAGTGCTCAAGAATTACTCAAATACCAGCTCTTAACAAAAATATTTTTCACCTACATTCCACCTCCAAAAGGAAATATAAATTGTAAAAGGAAGATTAAATAGTAACAGAACTATGTATGTTTAGAACTGAGTCAAATTTTGTTGGTTCCTTTTTTCCCATGCCTACTGCAAATAAGAATTGACTTCTTAATAGAAATTAAAATACCATCAACGTGAGTCACAGGCACCAAAAGCTATTAACTTAATAATATGAAGAAAATACTAATCTTTAGTATTTGAAGTATAGTACTTAGTATTATGAAGAGAATATGAATCTTTACAAAAAAGGATACTGATCTATCTCTGAGTTTGAGAAAGAACCTTAAACTTCTTGGAAATTCTGCCAAAGGATTAACTTCTTTCAGCAGTGGAAAGACATCTGTATTTTCTAGACAAATACTTTATAATTAACTTGATAAATTATAATATCTCTAATTTTCATGTGGTCACTAATGTATAACCTTGGTCATGTATGTGTGTTTGTTGGCTTTGAATTTGTTTTTAATTTGCTTGGGATTTTTTGTGCATTTTGGGGAAAGGGAGGAATTGGGGAGGGAAGAGGAAAAAGAATGAGGCAGATGGATGGAACATGGAATGATGGCATGAGGAAGTGTCAGTGAAGCAGCATATACCACCTATTTGTAAGAATTTCCTTAAGCAGCATTTTAACACCAATGAGTACAAATGAATTCCTGAGCCAGCTCATAAACTCGTCGTTCCAGTCACCTCCAGCTCCAGGATCATGCAGACAGAAAGGAATCTGAAGGGATTGTGTCAGTTTAAGGAGCTTCTGGACACATTTACATTTACATCACACACACCTGCTCATGACAGCCTGACAGAGGGGCTGTGAAAGGGCTGGAAACACACCCACCCCTGCTGTAGGTACAGCTGCCACACAAGCCTGTCAAAACAGTGGGAGAAACACGCAACCAAAACAGCAAATAAAGATTTGCTACCTCCCCACAAAAGTTATGGAACACTTCAGAAATTGGAAAATTTAATTTTTCAAGAACACTGAGCCTGAGTCTCAGTGTTGATAACTCTGACACGGCACCATGAGGAGAACAGGACTGCCATGCAAGATGGTTCAGCCAGTAAAAAGGTTGCAAGAAAGCAGCAGCAAGCACTCACACAAGCTTCTTAATGAGTCTTGACCAAGTCAATTCTCATTCTTTGAAGACAGCAAGGTATATTCTTAGGCAATTAGAGCTTCTTTGAAAGGCTGCTCAGCTGGCAAAGCAACACTTAGACAAAACACACATAGCGAGATGGTGCTAAACACGTGCCAGAGCCTATTTCAAGATTTTTGTTTAAAAGCTGTGCACCCACCTGCATAATGCATGTTCTGTAGAGGATCTGGAAAGTGAACAAGGGGAAGAGTCTGGCCAGTGACTTTGTGCCCTCCACCTGAGTCTCACTGTAGTGACCACCGTGGTTTTCCTTGGCGTGGTCCAGCCAGTTGGCCACGGCTGTGCTGAGGTAGCGGTAGCGCACACCGCACGTTTTCAGGGCACTAAAAATCACCCCAAAAGTCGTCAGCAGGGAACTGTCTGCAAGCAATCAGAGATGTTAGGCATTGGTATGTTTTTGCCTGCTGTCAAGATAAACACCAGCCACAACAAAACACTTTGGGAGGGAAAGTGCAAGATGGTGTATCCATCTTTATGGTTTTTTTTAGGGAGGGGAGAGGTAATAACTCTGGATTTGTTTTTAAAAACTCTCTTTTGAACCCAGTTGGTTCACAACCCAATTGTTACAGAGGCAATCCTGTCTAACAACTATGGAGATTAGTTCCTTTTATAACCAGTTATTTATGTGTTTATCTGGTTGAGCAGGTAAAAAACAAAGGAAATTAATACTCTGTTTCCATTTATTGAATGCCTGCTGAAGTCTGGTGGGAAGGGCAGTAGTGAAGTGAGAAGAAAAAGGAGTTTAAAAAACAGGTGAATTAAGAGAATTCTAATGGATGTATTTCAAGGCCAGAATTATCATCTCAGGTCTTCCAAGTAGCATGCAGGACAAAAGAGGAGTTTCCAGTCTAGTACTTAGCATATTAAAACTTATTGACTGGTTACTGGGTTCAAGAATTGCCAGCTTGTTTCTCAGATGAAACAGAAGTAGGATGAGCACAAAACTGTCACCCTCAGGCTTGGAAATGCAGGTTCATTTACCTTTGGCAAACTGCCATCATACAAACAGGGGTTGTGGCACTTCTGTGTTTTTTCTGAGTGCTGTAGCACCCCAATAAGTTGAGTATAAATACTTTCCAAAACCAGAAAATGAACTAAGATTGCAGAATGAAAATGTCTCCCTACTATCTCTGACATGGAAATAATTTTCTAGAAATATCCATTGGCCACTGGAAGCACTTGCTTTAAAGTACTAAGTAAGGGAATTTTATTAGCTAAAATAATATTTAAAACTCCCTGGCTGTGTGGAATTAACCTACAGAATGTTGTCACTATAATATAAAATCTGAAATAGCATATCAAAATCTGAAAACAGAGAGTTGGTAGAGTTTTGATTGTTCTATAGGACTTACTTGGCAACTATTCTCACCACTCATTGCAAGTGATGTTTCAGTTTCAGACTTAGATTATTTTAAGAGCAAGTCTGAAGACTAAAAAAAAAAAAAAAAAAGTGCAGAATCCCAGAGTGAATTGACTAAGAAGGCAACCACAAAACAAGTGGGACCTGGGGCTCTTCTCAAAGCAGTTAGTTTCAGAAGTAAATAAAAGATGACAGGAAATTTGGTATTAGCTCAATTCATTGGCAGAGCCTGTAATAAGATGTTTTAAGTTAGAGAAACATTATTTTGCTTTGTCCTACACTGGCAATTGGACATTGACAAAAAGGGACTAAGGAGCAGTAATGTGGTGCTACTGTTCTGCAAGGGTTTGAAATCAGAAGATGCACTGAGTGCCCCATGACAAACCCAGCAGAAAGTCAGTAAAGCAGCAGCACAGCTGTGTCCTGGCCCATCTAACCTGGTCTCCAAGATGGTCATGGCCATCTCCTTTCCTTTGGAATGTGAGAGGTTGGGCAGAAAAAAGGCTGAATGAAACGTGGCAAGATCAATTCCACCAGCAGCAGGCATATTACACCTCTTTCTGCACAGGGAAAGGCTGTGACACATACCCTGATGTGACTGAAACAAGCTGGAGTTTACCAGAGACTGCTTCCCACTTTTACAGCCTACCAGGCATCTCCAGAGCATGGATTGAATTTGTCACACACAGATGTTGGAAGGCTAAAACCCAAGGATCTACCACCAAACAGGGCAGAGTTGTGGAAGAAATAGTTTAAATATGCAAATCGATTTCTTCTGTGAAAGTAATCTCTAAAGATGCTTCCCAAGACAGAGCTGCCTCTTACCTGTTTTGGGTTTGCAAATCATTTCACCTCGAACCATGTGAATTGTGATCATTGCCATAAGCCCAGACACAAATGGAATAAGAAAACCAAGGTTCCTGACCACGGACTGCTGGATGTAAGAAATGCTGACAAAGACTACTGCTGAATTCAAGTTAACCAGCCAATGAAACCTGGAACACAGCGACAAGAGAGAGAAAAGTGGAGAGGCTGACTGATATAAAAGCCTTTACAGAAGATTAAAACATCCAATTAAAGGCATGGTTAAGTATAGTAATCATGGACAGCATCAGTACCATGCACACATTAGCACAGCAATTAAAACAGATTTCACTCAAATGTCTCAGCTCCAAGAGGTATATGATTAAAGTAAGTGTACTAAGGCAGCAGAGCTGAACAAATTATCAGTCTGGTACTGGAAATATTCTTGTGGGTGACATTAATTAGATACATCAACATTTACCATTTACACATTTAATATCGGGTAACAAGTTTTGCGTATGAAATATCATCCAATCATACGCTTCAAGATTAAGAGAGAAATGTCTTAATGCCACCACCCTTTGATTAAGGAATTTTAAACGTTAAAAAAAGTATGAAATATTAACATTTGATTTATCAGTTATTAGTTGCAAGGCTCAGCTTGAATTTTTGTTGGCTTCTGGAATATCTTGATAAGGAGTTTCCCAAACATAATTTTCTGAGACTGTAATTTGTCATGGAGGTGCTTCCCAACTAAGTACTGAGCCCCTCCTAATCACAGAAGACATCCAAAGGATAAATCACACACTCCTCAGAGCAGATGGCATACCACTAGTGGCAGGCCTACTGCACTTTGGAACCCCTGAAAAGAGCACAATTATTGAGGAGTACTGTCCCAACATGTCAAAGTTTGCAGTCTGGAACAAAATGCAAGAAGAGATTCCTCTGCCTTTGCTGGAGCCATAGCAAAATGGTTTCATTTAAAGGTGAAATACAAAATTATAAAGCTTAATACATATTACAGGAAGAAGAAAAGCTCATTTTCTTGTTCGGTGCCACTTCTGCATCATGCATGCTGTTTGAATCTGAGTATTTGGGCTAATGAATCTAGAATGATCTTCTCAGTGACAAAATATTTGAAATTATGTTACTTGATGATGACACAGTTGAAGGGATTTTGTACATAAAAATATTGACCCATTCAACTAAAGCTTTTAATAAAAATATAATTATATGACTCATTTGGCTAGAACTTGTGTAAAAGTTTTGAATCAATCCTTAACTGACAATTATTAAGTTAGAATCTTCAGTGGCTGTTTTCCAAACTTTCTAAAGAAGTGTGCCCACAAAAACCTAATACTCTTCTTAAAACATTTTGCAGAAATGCATTTGTGGTGTATACTTTAAAGAAGTAACATCCAGGTGATTCTTATTGAGGAATATTGTTCATTTTTATATGTCTTCGTAGGAGCAGGTCAGTTTTCTCAGAACCACTATGGAGTTCTCTGCAAAAACAAACTGGGGGGAAAAATCCCAAAGGGGTAGAAAAAGTTTTTAAAAAGTCAAAGTGTATTGAGGAAAATGGCAGAAATTGATTGCAATATATGGAAACAAAACAGAGAGAGTGAGGGTGGAAAACACCACTGGTCCCACATTCTCTGCAGTTTTTTACAAGTCTGTAAGACAAGATACAGCTCTGCCCATTCTCACTGTACCCTTTGCTCTCATTCTCTGCCCCCACAGACAGAATGTATTTCTCCTGCTGTAAAACAGTACCAGACCATAACCTTAACCCTGGAAATGCAGAAGGCCCTAGAAAAATTTAATCCAGCAGAATCCAAGTTTCTTCTTCACTTAGGATTGGCATATTCTGTTTATTTATAAGGTCAGAGCAATAGTACATACTGCAGCTTAGAACCATGCTGTAAGATGTGCCAAGCAATCTTCTTGAAGGATTGAATTACAAAACAGGTAATTACCAGGACTTTTAACCCAATAATTTGAATTGTTTAAATAAAACTTGGCTAAAACCCGACTCAAGCCCATCAAAAGTAGGCAATTCCATTTTATATAATTTTAAAATTCAATCCTATGACAAACACCCATCAAGAGAGAACAGGCTACCAAGAAAAAGTGATTATATTCAGAGGATTTGAATGAGGTTACAAATGCATAGAATGGACCCTCCATTTTTCTAAATTTTGAGATGGCATTCCAAAGCCCCTCCTTGGGTGCCAATGCAAAAATTAAAATTTTTTGAATTGCACATGTACCTTTCTCGATATTTCCAAAGTTCCAAGAACTGACCCATTTGGATTCCCCCAAGGAACTTTTTATTCTTATTATATCTCCTTTGTAATCAACACTGAGAAATGTCACTTTGATTAAACACAACTCTGAATGGCCAAGACCACAGTACAATAAACTCTCCAGAGCTATCCTTCAGAACAACTGATTGCTCTCCAGTCTTAATCCCCCAGAGTCTTATTTAATCAAAATGATGTTGCTAATTAAGGATTAAAACTCAGAATAGAGTAAAAAGGAAGGTTTTTTTTCCTCTTTTCTCCTATGGGCAGGTCAAGGAGGCAGAATCTGCTCTAAGGAACTAAACAGTCTCATCCACCTTTGGTAAAGCTACTTTATTCACTGAAGTTTGGATTTAATTCAAAACTCCTTGATATTAACATAATTGGAGGAAAAAAGAATAGCCAGGAAAGCCATCCCCAAAGGAGGAGAGATCTGATTCACCAAGATCTTCATTGATTCTTCAGCATTGCATTGTTAATATGCAAATGTGCTTAGTTTTTATTTTAATAGCCATTCATGTAAAGGTGAAAAAAGGGGGCAGTTTAGGGCTTTCTTTCACCCTGACTTGAGTAGGAATGTGGAGAGTCCCACTGCATGGTTTAACCAGAAAATATAGCACTCTCTATTGGGCTAAAGAAGGGGAAAATAAGGATAACCAAATCATTAAAAATTACCTCCCTAATGCATGGAGAAGGAACAATTCATACAAAAAAACCCCAAAAACCACCAAACCCTAATTTTTAAGAACCACTTTAAGAACAATTATTCCTAAAGAACGAAAAATACCCCAACAAAATACAAAAGCTAAGTGGTTCATCAGATGCCAGAACCTGGCAGCAGCAATGCTGAAGTAATACAGTGAGTTTAATTTGAGACAACTCACAATCCTGACTTCCAGCAAACCAGCAGTCTACTGCTGCCTGTCACTGCTAAAAATCTGCTGATGTAAATACCAATATATCATTGAATTTTGCCACTGTTAGGGAGCAACAGCAAAATATCCTAAAGGCATAGCCACGTTAAAGGCAGAAAACCAAATGGAGTACGTTGTTCCAACAGCAAAAAGGTTAGCAAGTCTTGAGTATTTGGGCAAATTGTTTAATCCTGAAAACTCTGACTGAGCACTTCTGTAGATGGCCAAACTAGATTATCATCTACTAGCAAAAGGAAAAAGTCAGGAAAAGCTTTAACTCTTGGGAACTCTTCAAAAACTCAAAGGTCTACAATAGAAATCAAAACATGAGACCCACCCTCCACAGAACCTTTGAATTTCAGCATTGCATTTCGAGGCAATGCTCTATTGCTCCCGACAGCTATTTAGCCAACACTAAATTATTACCAACCAGTTGAAAAATGACAGCAGCTCCTTTGGCCCACAGTCCTCAAGGCTGTAGGCACTCAGTGGGCACACAATGGCTCTTATGCCTCCTATTCCCAGGCTGGCTGTGAGGAGTGCAAAGTAGAACAGGATTTTCTGCTCCCTTTTGGGCAGGGTGAGGAGAATCTGCCGTCTGTCGATGTGAACATCTTCAAAGGGGAACGACACCACAGGTAACAGTGCTGTGCCTGGAAAGGAAAGAAAATTGTCATTGGAAAGGAATTTGAACCAGATTAGTAAGATTTGTATTTTTTAGAACAGGTATGTTCTAATGCAGGTATGAGAAGACAGATGGAAAATTAAAGATAAACAAGAGAAAACTGTAAAGAGGGAGAGGCAGAAACTTTTTTGGTGTTGCTATGCAAAGCAATACCACTATGGACCTCTGAGAAACCAAACCTCCTCTGAAGTGCCTGCAAGGATTCAGGTTCTTATATCAACTGAACCACTAATTAACCAAAAAAACCCACAAAAAAATCCCACAGTGGAGTGCAGCTTTTTTTCTGCATCTTGTAAAATCCCAGAATTGTAATAGGAATAATAATTTAATAAATAAATTCTCAAAACTTTTGTGGGGAAAATTCTTTTTTTCTGTAGCAGCTTCATAGAAAATATGATTTTCAGAAAATTTAACTATAGAACCACTGCCACAAATTGCATTTACCTCTTCTAGTCTGCAAAGCAAGTCTTTCAGATTTAGTCAGCTGTAGATTTTTCAAGTTTTAATGGACACTAAGCTTAAAATATATTGGTGTTTCAACAGCACCAATATTAGCCATTACTATGACTGTGCATTACACTTTAATATATCATGAATGTTTATTAATTTATCTCCAAAGGAAGAAACGCTCTAGTTAAAACCATACCCAAAGGCATCAGATTGTGTTTGTGTCTCCAATCTTCTACTTTAAGAAATGCACTGAAAGGACAAGTGGCAGAAAGATTTCAACCAGAACACCAGGGGAGAAACAGTGGAACACAACAGCAAACATTTTTCCAGATTGCTTGAATAACAGCTTTGCAATCAGCTCAAGAACATTTCAGGAAAGACTCTGATATTTTTTTAGTTTCTTTGCTGCATGTCTAAATAACAATGTGGCTGGCTATTGCAGAAATCAGACTTGTTCAATGACTGGTTCAAGCAAGAAGCATTTCTATCATCTTGGATTTGCCAGAGTAACCAGCAGGTTGTGCTGGGAGATGTCCTACAGCAGGAGGCCAAAATAATGCATGGGAGATGTCCTGCCTGCTACAGAACAGGTGGATTTTGTTTGAGCACTGCTTTTTCTGTAAAAAGTGCTCAAAACAGTGCCCAGGGAAGGTTCAGATTGGGCCAAAAGCAGGCAGGCCCTCAGTGTATGTATTAGGATCCTTAAGGCAAAGTTTGTTTTTGTTGGTGTGTTCTTAAACACTTTGCCTCTTGTCCAAACAGAAAAGTCCTTTGTACCTTTACATCTTATCTTACTCCTAGCAGCGGGGAAGCAGCTCCTAAATTCTCTCTCTGACTGAAGCCTGGCATTTGTGCCAAACACTAATAACCTTAGGGACCAATTTTAAGAGTTGAGCATCCATGCTGTCAGTAGCTGACCCACTTCAGAGGAGTCAAGTTTGTGCACCAGATGCACACACAAACATTGCTTCGTCTCGCTGAGAGCTGCAAAGGTGAAAACACCACAGTGCATTTTGCAGAGGAGGAGCTAAATAAGCAGCTGCTGAGGAGGCTGGGGAAAACAGATGCCAAGCACCACGTTTCTACAAGATCAGCAAAACACCAGGCAATCCCTGGGCTGGCACTTGTCGGAATCTTTGGTACTGAGATGATTCCAAGATTGTAGAGAGTCTCTGTCAACCCCGCTGCCAAAGAAGGCATAATTCATCTGTGCTGGTTTTCAAGGTTCTTTATTCTGTTTATCTCTAACATGTTCTGCTGCCCTGCCGCAGGTCTGTCCTGCAGGGCAGCGTGTGGGGCTCTGCCCTCAGTGGGATGTTACAAACATTAAATACCAGAAACTACCTGTGCTGGATTTACAATAATGTGCCAATATCTGTCACCAACAGAAAAATGCCAACACCACAGTGAAACATGGAGGGCATGAAGAAGGAGAAAAATGACAAGACACACCCAATTTCCTCCATCTTGTGCCCTTTGGACCCCTTATCTAAATCCTAAAATTTCACTTTTGCACCTGTGCCACATTTAATTATTACTCATATCAAACACTCAGAGCTTGTAATTCATCCTGTAAGATTGAAAACTCTTTTCCATGGACAGAGATCAGAGACAGTGTCTCTGGGGGCTCTGTACAGGGGGGTTCTTGACCCCTTGCCAGGGTCCCAGACCTTTCAGGGCAGCCAGAGGGAAGCCCTGGACGCCCACAGCACCCACCTAGGAAGTGCAGGAACATGCAGATGCACACCAGCTTGGTCCTCCCCACCAGGTACTCGGCGAGCCAGCCCACCAGCACGGGTGTCAGCGTGGAGGTGCCCACGAAGCACATGTTGACCATGGCTGCCTGGTGGCTGCGGTAGCCCAGCTTGGCGGTGCAGAAGAGGATCATGTTGCACACGATGCCGAAGAACGTGAACCTCTCGCACAGCTCCACCAGCAGCACGCAGACGGCCTCGTGGAGCTTCTTCTCAGCTTCAGGCAGCTTCCCATCACGGCTGCTTCTCCCAGGTCGTTGTTCCTTGTCAGCCATGTGGTTCAAAAATCCCTTCTCCTGCGAGTCTCTTCTGTCTGCATCAGGCATTCCTGTCTTTTTATTTTTTGAGCAGGTCAGCTTGAGTTACAGGTGCTCCTCCACTGTCATTAGCAGACTGGTAAGAGTCTCGCTTTGAATTCCACACTCTGCTACTACAATTTCTTAGGGCACCTGTCACTTTTGAGATATTACATATAGGATCAAATAATATTTTTAAAAAAACCCCAATAAACTCAAAGAACTACATGAACATTTCAGTTTCTGAATATAGCAACATTAGGAAGTTAAGTAGTTTATTTAATTAGTTCACTTGGGGGTGAATGAGATTTTTCCCCAGAATTATATTACCTATTAAATGATGTGAATCCAATACTGTATGCAAAACTCAATCTGTATGTTAAAGATAAAGGTTTAAACACACATGAAAGCTAACATTTTCAGCAGAATTCAAAAGAAAGATTGAGAAAATAATTTGGTTAAAACTAGCCAATACTTTAATTAGGCAACAAGTGAAAAACTGCAAGTAGATAAACACAGGGATTTTTTTTTTTTTTTTTTAAGGTAAACATTATCAAATGATTGTGCTATTTCTTTCTATTTCTGGTTGAAATTCAGATAAAGGTAATTATAAAAATAAGCAATGCTACTAGGTTTAAGTAAGAAAAACAAATTTTAAAATAAATTAAGTTGAATATATTATCAAAATTAAAAAGAGAAACCTAAAAACTGCCTAGCTCAAAACTGTCACTTAAGGCAGATTCTGCCCTGTAGCTACAATGCACCAGAAGGGGCAGGGGCACAAGCAATGTTTTATTTTTTCTTTCATATCAAACAAAAGCTATTACAGCCTTGAGAAGGAATTAGGAAGAGCCAAACTCAGTGCTTTATAATGTTCCTGCTACTTTATCCACAAAGTCTGCTGATTTCCCAGGTCAGCTTCTCCATTTTGTGGAGCTCATTAAGATCACTAACACCTGATCAGAATGCCCCCACCTGCCAATGGAAGCATCCCACATCTATCTTGTGCAAATGTAAGTGCATGCACAAGTTACAAGGAAGTGGAACACCAGGTCAGCTTCTCTGAACAGAGCTCTTAGTGTTTCTGATGGCATTTTTTGAGAGATGGGTTCTGCTGTTTGCTTCCAGCTGTCCTTATAACTGCTCAAATTTGGCCTCTTCAGATCTATTTAGGATATGAGAACTACTACATCACAAAACAGAGACACAATAGTATATAACCAGCATTGATAAAGAGTCCAAGATTACCTAAAATAAAAAAAAAAAGCAATTGTGATTCAAACATAAAGCCTAAAAACTCTGAAGCTTAAATCTAAGTAGTAATAGGTTTTTTCCTATAATTAAATATATTTTCAACCTATTTCAAGTCTAAAGCAAGAACTCAGACAGCAAAAACATCATAGTTTTCAGAGACATTAAATTGGGGATGAAAACAGCTGTGACTTATAACATGCCAGGAACTACTTCTGTTTTCTGATCCATGACAGCTAAAATGAGCCTCCTTTGAACAAACCAACCAAAGAAGTCAAAAGTATAACTCAGCTTGGTTTCTTCATCAAAGTCTAAAGAAGCCAATCTCAAATCAACACAGGACAGAGGAAAGCATTTTACCTCAGAGGTGCACATATCTTCTGTTGCATGAACAGAAGATCTTCATGTTTTATCCAACTACTCACAAAATAATTTTTCCTTTTTCTTTAAGCAAATACAGCTGTATTTTAACATCAGATAGAAAACATAAGGACAAATAAACTCTTGCTCCAATAGATATTTGAACTTAAAATACTCTGTTTTCCTTCAGAGTGCCACATTTACCTGTTCTCATGGGTGCTGGCAGCTCACAGTGAATCACAAAATGGGAACCAGCACAGAGAGCAGGGCTCCTGGCTGGGATGGCTCTTGGTCCTCATGTGGTTTCATTTACCCAAATTTGGAGTTACAAGCTAGGAAAAGGGCATAATTGACCAAGCCTTATAAATGCCCCAGAAAGCAGGAATTGGGTGATTTTCATGATTACTTTTGAATTGCCTTTGCTTGTGATCAATGAGGGTGTGGTGGTGACAGTCCCAGATCAATCAGTACGTGATTAACATGTGCAGTGCTAAGAGAATGTACAGCTTAATGTAACTATAGGATCTCTATTGATTTACCTTTTTAATCACCTCTGCAGTAATTATAGGTGGTCAGTCTATTTACTTGACATGTTTTCTAGTGAATTCTAGTTGAATTATCTGGCATTCAACTGGTTTATTCTTACCCAAGGTAATAGAACTGCATAAAGCTTGATGAAAAACCTTTATTATTTGCATTAACATATGTAGAGCTTTATATATACTGGAGCTCCTAGAAACTGGACACATAAAATAACTTCTATTTCAAAATCCAGCCCTTCTGGCAGTACTTCTGTCTGTCAATAAGGACTTCGTGTGTTTTTTAAACAAATCTTCTTTAAAGATCTGAAAATGTGGCAGTCACATCTTGGAGAGAGGTTTATAAAAATAGTTGTTTCTCACATGGCAGTGTCAAGCCCATGAGAGGTCTGGCTGTTAATAAAAGAGCTGCTCTTTGGTGCCTTACCACCCCAGGTAAAAGGTTACTTCTTCTCATACTAGAACCAACACATTAACATTAGGCAAGTGAATTAAGTTGCTCAGGTTGGAACAGAAATTTTCTATTAATTTTCTCTGACAAGGGATAATTGTCAGTATTTTTATTGTAGAGGTAATTTACTGAAATAAAAGAGGCAGAACTTCAGTGTCCAGCACAACAGTTCTTCTAGCTAAAAGGGAGTAGTGGCTTTGTTTGTGTTCTAGAAAGGTCAGTCTCCCTAATTTTTTAGTAAATTTAATTCAGCTTTACTCTTTTTTAAAGAGCATGTGAGAGGTGTTACCCATCATCATAGAAGTGGCTGTGGTTCCTGCTAAATATCATGTTGGAAACAATTGATATGGACAAGGCTGACAGTGCAACACAAGAATTTTGACACTTGTAAATAAAACATTAAATGGGTCAAATCTTTCTAGCTAGCACCAGGATTCCCATGAATTTGCATGGTTTGAGAAGCTGGCTCAATGATTACTGACTTGAGGACTGCAATTTAAAAGACAGAAGAAATGCAGAGCAAAAGGTTCATAGATAAAAAAATAATAACAATTTAGCTTCTAGGGTGAACTTTGTATTAGTCTATGAATTTATTGTTCTTTTTTTGGACAATGTATTAATTCCTACGCCCTACATCTTATTTCACAGGGAATAATGAAACTTCTTTTGTTGAAATTGTTACTTCAGACAACTATTTCAGTGATTTCTGCACTGCTGTCACCAGAGTCTTGGAGTACTCAGGCCTGAGAGAAAACTGTGACAAAATATGGCAGTGCTTCTTTTGGAGTTCCCAGAATTTCAAATCCATATCTGATGCTTCTGAGAAACTTCATCAACATCAGTACAAAAGCTGCCTAGTATTTTTCTGACTACATACCAGAAGAATTAATACATGCAAACCCCAAGTGCTTGTGAAACATGTAAAAGGTCAATTAAGAAACTGAAATGTAGTCATCACGAGTTTGAGAAAGCCAATTTGTGAAATCTGTTATGTTAGAAAATCTACTAAAAATAAAATTGCTTTGTATTTTATAAAGATCTCTCAAACGTTTTAAAAGGACACTTTAAAGGCTGAAAAATGGCATCTATGAAATAACCAGTTCTTAAAATTACTGATTATATGAGAAATTCTCTGAGAAGTTCTGGAACTATGGTACCACATTACTTTGAATATTTTTATTCTCCTTTTGGTAAGTATTTTTGCAAAAGTCTCAACACCTTAGCCAGCTATTAACTGCCAACCTCACCCACTTCTGCCTTGCTGCAGCAGGGATGTTATGTCTGTCTTTTTTCATGGCCACTTTTTTCTGTGAAAGTGCAGGATCAAGTTGAGACTTCAAATTTATTGAAAAGCTGTATTTTAAGAGATATATTTGCTTTTTCCTAATATAGTAATAATCAAAAATAGTGTGGGAAAGCCATATTCTTTATTCTGCTGAAATGCAGCAGATCAAGAAAGATAATTAAATCCCTCTTCCAAGAGGTCCTGGTGGAGAGTGTAGACAGGACATCTGCTATAACCTTTATTTTCTCTGCTTGTCCTGCAAAAGCCTTCTCCCTGAATCTCACTTCCCCCCAGTGTAATTTTTGTGTCTCTCTGATTTAAGCAGGGAGTGTGGCAAAAGCAGAGAAAGGAAGCAGGAATTCCACGGCTTTTTCCATGGCACCTGGAGCAGGACAAGAATGCGCAAGATGTGTGTAGGAGTCCAGGGCACCCCTCTGGCTGCCCTGGCAGGTCTGGGACCCTGGCAGGGGTCAGGAACTCCCCTGTACAGAGCCCCCAGAGACACTGTCTGTGATCTCTGTCCATGGAAAAGAGTTTTCAATCTTACAGGATGAATTACAAGCCCTGAGTGTTTGATATGAGTAATAATTGAGTGTGGCACGGGTCCAAAAGTGAAATTTTAGGATTCTAGATTAGGGGTTCAAAGGGGACAAGATGGAGGAAATTAGGTGTGTCCTGTCCTTTTCCTCCTTCTTCATGCCTTCCATGTTTCACTGTGGTGTTGGCATTTTTCTGTTGGTTTAGGCTGGGGACACACTGTTCAACGTAGGTGACAGATATTGGCACGTTATTGTAAATATAGCACAGGTAGTTTCTGGTATATAATGTTTGTACCATCCCACTGAGGGCAGAGCCCCACACGCTGCCCTGCAGGACAGACCTGCAGCAGGGCAGCAGAACATGTTAGAGATAAACAGAATAAACAACCTTGAAACCAGCACAGACAAATTATGGCTTCTGCTTTGGCAATGGGGCAGAAAGACAGAGACTTTCTACAATCTCGGAATCACCAATAGCACAGATTCCGACAGACGTGAACGCACTGGAGCGAGTCCAGTGAAGGGCTGTGAAGATGCTGGGGGGCTGAAGCATCCCTCACACGACCTGGGAGAGCTGGAGCTGCTCAGCCTGGAGCAGAGAAGGCTCAAGGGGTTCTTTTTAATGTATAAAAATACTTGGAGGGAAGGGCAGAGACAGGCCCTCCTCAGTGCTGCCCACTGACAGATAAGAGGCAACAGGCACAAAACAGAGGGAACTCAATTTAGGAATAATT